ATGATAATAATTATTATAACATCATCATCATCCCATATTAATGTAATAATAAAGATAACTTCGATAGAGCTCACTCCCTGGTGGCTTCCGGTACATTACAATAAAACAATTCAAAATAAAATCAATAGCAAACACATAGATGTTTCACGCGCACCTGCCTATTCATCGTACAACAGTCCTTTCAAGTAGCCTATACACCCGCAATCTGACAGACCAGCACATACACCTACGTCAGTGCTAGCCAGCCTGGGCGATATCGCCCATCAGTGGGCAGTGGGGATCACCCGGGGTGACAGGTATATTAATATCCAATTTGGAAATAAGTGTAGGTGCACCGTACAAACATTTTAGTCTCTTAAATATGTCAAAATAAGTGAGCGCAAGTGTTAATAGGGTTGACAGACACTGACTTATATTACTATAGTAAAAAGACAAAAACAACCCACCCAAAAACAAAACAAAACAAAGCAAAAGAAACTCAACCACAACAAATAACAACAACAACATACAAACAAACAACAACAACAAAAACAACAACCCAACATAAAAATAAAAAAAAAACAACCCCCCGAAAAAAACTCCCCCAACCCCAACCCCCCAAAAGAATCCCCCTCCCCCCCAAAAAAAAACAACCAAGAAAAAACAAAACAACCTCAGTAAGCCGCAAGATTAATCTCTTTCCAACACATTTTCCACCAGACGATTGCTCCGGGAGTGCCAACAAGGGACGTCGTTACGCTGTATGGGATGTCTGCTTTGCATATTACGAGTGTGTGGACTACACAGCCAAGTACCGACAATGCGATGACCGTAGCCGCTATGATCCAAGTCTTGGGCGATGTGTCGAAGACTACTCCTGTACAACAGGTGACTTGTTGGTTGTTGTTGTGTGGGTGTGTTTGGCCGGTGGGTTATATAATTTTTCTTTAGTGGGGTGGGAGCAATGGAGACAGCATCTGCAGCCTCGAGAAGATTGCTTCTTGCCAGGGTCACCGCCTCCGAAACAATGTCAGCTAATATTTGGCATCCATAAGTTTGATGTCTGTGACTCAATATACGAGTAAGTATTGGAGACATAGACGAAGAGAATGATACCAGTTGTCCCCAGTGTTGTTGTTGTTGTTATTATTGCTGCTGCTTTTTAATGTTGCTGCTGTGGTAGATACTTTTACATATTTTCAGTATTTTCAGTATACTTTCAGTATTTTCTTTCTATAACCCAACAAGGTCTTTAAAGCCAGTTATGTAGTTGTGATGACGTTGTGTTTCATTTCTGATAGTGGTACTAACCTGATAGATTTTGAGCTATTGATATTAGCTTTTAGACCCCACGCACACTTACTAAGGCACTTTCCACTTCGTTACCTCAGAGTTACAAAGTTCTATCTGCTAAGAACCACGTTTTGAGAAAATTGACGTCAAAGATTTTGAGTTTCAGATCATGTCAAGCTTTTTCGAAAGCAGTTCTTTGAATATATTTATAACGACTTGGAATAATTTTACAATTTTGATAGAGCAGGTAGAACATTATATTTTTAGGTTCATGACCTCATGGTCTTAGAAACGCAAAACAGCCGAACATGTCAGATAGAACTTTGAAATTCTAAGGTAGTGACTTGTTGCACGTAAAGTAAGGGGTCACTTGGCGGGGAAGAAAGTAGAACATGTGAAAATTGCCTCATTTGCATACTCGCACCCGGGCAACGAAAGGACGTTTCCCTTGAGTGGGCGGGGCCCAATAAGAATCAAAACACTCTTCCTTATTACTGCGTAAAACGCAGCTTCAATGTCGAGAGTAGGAGAAAGAGATTGTTGATAGGTCTTGCAAGTTTAGATAGTTTATGGTTTGGCTTGCTGGTATCTCCCATTTGTTTATTGTCAGAATAACTGCACCAATAAGAGCTAAGATATTTTGTAAATATTTTACACCCCAACGGACACAATGCCACTCATGTCTGACACTGACTGCTGAGCTCTGCCTGACCTGCACTAAGAGGAATGAAAAAAAGCAGAAGAACGGAGATAATGAACTCATTACTATCCCCATATGGGAGTCAAACTCAGGTTCTTTTGCTTCGAGAGGCAAAGAAAATTACCATTACACTACAGACACCGGTGAAGAGGCAAGATATATCTACCGGTGAAAGATTTCATATTTATAAATGTTATTTGCTATATCATTGTGTGATCTTGTTTCTCGCTGTCTTTGTGTGGTATCTAATCTAACCGACAGACTACGGAATTTGAATATGAAGAGACTTAATTGAATATTTTTTAACACAGGAAAGCCGTTAGGCTACGAGAGAGACATAGATAGATATATTGATAGATAGATAGAAGGAGAGAGATATAGATAGATAGATAGATAGATAGATAGAGATAGATAGATAGATAGATAGATAGATAGATAGATAGATAGATAGATAGATAGATAGATAGATAGATAGAGAGAGAGAGAGAGAGAAAGAGAGAGAGAGAGAGAAAGAGAGAGAGAGAGAGAGAGAGAGAGAGAGAGAGAGAGAGAGAGAGAGAGAGAGAGAGAGAGAGAGAGAGAGAGAGAGAGGTGCAAGGTATTTTTTGTTACAGACTTTGCAAAAGCACCGCAGTTGATAAGGAATAACGTTTCGTCACTAAAATGGTCACTGAATAGTGCCACTGGCGGTAGCCCCCCACCCCCATTTCTTTGCTTTCTCTTTGTTGCTTATGTCTGTCTGTCTGTCTGTCCTACTTTTTCTCTGCATTGAATGAACGTTATTAATTTAATGTCTCTCTGTTTGCTGTGACATCCCCCTCCCCTCATAGGGTGCTTTTGTTTGCCATGGCGAACCGCCATTCTTTTAAATCATACTTTCTAAATTTACGGAAATGCTACCTCAAAATTACAAACTTCTAATTGACAGTTTTACAGTTTTGAGTTACTAAGACCATGAGATCAGAAATCGAAGATTATTCTGAGTCGTTATCAAGATATTCAAAGAACTGCATTCGAAAAAAGCTTCACATATTGTTGTGAAACTCAAAACTTTTAAAGTCAAATTTCTCATAACTAGGTACTGAGCAGAGGGCAGTTTGTAATTCTGGTGTTTCGAAATGGTAAAGACGGAATCTTTTCATTATTTCTTCTATCCGCCAACACTGTCTTTGCTTCAGCCTGCGCGTATGGCTGGCGTGCACACCCCACGGACCCCACCAAGTTTCTCCTCGACGGCACCGAGATGTCCTGCCCCGCCTACCTGGTCTTTAACTTCAGGATCTGCACTTGCGATTTCCCCTGAACATCTCTCGTACGTATTTATTGCTTCATTGTTAGCATAATAAGAATCAACGTTTTTCAATAGAGTCTATTACAGAAACGATGCTTGGACGAACTATGGACGCACATACATATTCGTGCACACACATTGGTACGCACGCACTCACACATTCATACGCACACACACACACATCCACACATCCACACTTACAGACATATACTCACACATATACACACACGCGCGCAACATGCAAGTGCACAACGCACATACACATACAAACACACACACACACACACAAACACACACTCACACACACATACACAAACACACACACACACACACACACACACACACACACACACACACACACACACACACACACGATACATATAGCGGGTAGTTATCGGGTACCACTGGTATGTTCTGCTTCTTTTCTCCCCTCTGTCATAACAAACAATATACACTTAACATATTGATTAAAAAGACACACACACATTGACAGACACATAGATCGGTATACTGAGAGACAGATACACGACCTGTGTAAACAAATATAAGTAGGTAGATTGCTAAATAGATTAACGGATAAAAGGAGAGACAGCGAAGAAGGCTGACAGGAAGAAAGTTAATAATTTCAACGGTAGTGCCTGCTTATAACTCAAGCAAGTGGTACTACTCATGTGGGCATACATGTGAGAAAAACACTCAGAGGGTTAGCAATTCAATATCATACATAACGTTACTCCCATTTTCTTTGCAGGGCAGGCCAGAAGCAGGCTCTTCACGTTCCTGTGGCCAGAAAAAATGTCACAGCTAAATCAGACTTGATTTAATGAAGAAAAAATATGTTTATTATTCTTTATATAAATTCATAAAAGTCACGTGTTTCATTGCATTTTTGATAAAAACAATAAATCAGAAACGAATTGTTTGTGTTTACACCCTAGCACATCACTGTTTCTTCAGTTTTTCATTTAAAAACCAGAGGCAGTAAAATTGAAGATTGAGAGGAATATCTACAATATGACTTTTCGTTTTCCAAATGGTCGTAACACACACATGCGTTGATTTCATCGTGAATGTTCTTCTCCCAAGTCGACACGATTGAGATCATATTATAAAAGGCTTCGACCCTGCCTGTCAGGGCCAATCAGGCCCAGTGGGATGCAGTATCCCAGCAAAAAGGCCGATATGCTTGATACCATAGATTCCCACACTTGAGAATCGAACTCTTGTCTTCTGTTGCAGCGGCGAAGAGTTCAACCGCATCACCCCAGACGACAATACAGGCAGTTTTGGAGACTTTGGACCGTGGCTAGAGTGCAGAAGACGAAAGGAAGAAGAAAATAAGGCAACAATTTAATAAGGAAAAATCAACGTAGATATAGTCTAGCACGCTTTTAGCTAAATAGGCAGGAGGCGGAAATTTTTAAAATTATGTATGAATTTCGCCATGTGCATGTTTAGATAGAAAAAATATACATGTAAGAGCAACACATTCGGGGCTTGGCAATCTGTTCACAATGTGCATGCTTCGTTGTGAGTGTGTTCGCTGTGTGCATGTTTCGATATGAGTGTGTTCGCTGTGTGCATGCTTCGATATGTGTGAGTTCGCTATGTGCGTGCTAGACTGCTATTATAGCCCTTCATATAAGAATAATCTACATGCGTCTAAGTGAACCTTTTTTGCGCTTGGACGGCTCCTTGGTAGATCTACTGCCTTCTGGAGAGCTGTTGTTACTTCTAACCCACTGACGTGGAGTGGGTGATGATTTTGTACTTCTTCAAGACCAAAGATTATAACCGTTATTTAAAATAAAAGTAACTCCCCAGTCTTCACTGGAAGTCTCGATTCAAAGAGTATTTATTAGCTGCGTCCACACGAAGACACTGAGGACATTTAACTGGAACACAAGTAGTCTTTTCCGACTATGGGAACTTTCAAAAGGGGCCAAACTTTTCTCAGACTAACAGAACATAATATCATCCCAACAATCAAAGCGCCGTTTTGCTGTAAAATACCCCGGATGGTCCGAAAAGTCTTCCCCCGAATCTAATACCAATTGTAAACAATCAGAAACGATATTAAAAAGCTACATGTCAAGCTGTTCTCTGTCTGAAGATTCTTTAATCTTTTAATCCTTTATGATCTGTTAAGCTGAATACATGTGTAGATCTATATCTGCTTGAAAAAACGAGGGCCTTCAAAATCTCATGATGTTTAATTTAGTGAGGGAGTCATCGAAAAAAAAATGTCACAGTGTGCAAGCAAACGACCTCTTACTTGAACTCGACATAGCGATTGGCTTTTCATGGTTTCTGTTGGTCTAATTAACCACAATCTTCGTCAGCGTAGAACATACGTTATAGAGCAACACAGCACATGACACTGCCATCTTTGGTGACAGAACAGTGCCATTATGAGAATGATAATAAAAATATTTCTATCTATGTTTTCTGGGAAAACGACAGCAGGTTTTCTTCGATTTCTAAAATTAAGCACAGTTACTTTTGAGCGCCACATCCTGAATCTTTTAGTAAGTTTTCTCGAACACTTCGGCGACTGGGATACATTCCATTTCTGCTTCTGACTTTTCAGTGAACTCGTCTGTCAATACTGTGATCTGATATATTTTTTAAGAGCTCAAAAAGATATCCAATCAATATTACCACAAGCGTTTAATAGTGTAAATACATATACACAAAACAAAACGTGCCTTTTGTTCTTTTATTATAAAATCAAAACATGATGATCATGATCACAGAAAACGATTTTGCACATGATTCTGACTTTAGCGTAACAACAGATGGGGGATAACTAAAAACAAAGTGGGGATGGGGGGGGGTAGGTAGAAGAAACATACGAAAGAGAGTGTGGGCGAGATGGTGATTGCGCTTGGGGTGATGCTGGTAAAAACCTTTACGAGTGCTTGCTTCCTTCTCATTCCTTTGAATTCAAGTCCTTCCAGAACTCGTATCTTGTTCTTCTGTTGTATCACGCCTCCTCAGAATAATTGTGCTGCTTCAATTTTGCCATTTGGGAAAACACTGGCTTTGTGGGATATCTCCAAGCAGAAAAAAAGCACAGTTGAACCTACTCTAACGACCACTTGTGCAAGACAATCACCTAAAAAAACAAACACTTCCTACTTCCCCAATTGAGTGCTTTTAATTTAAATATCAGAATGACACTGTCCAACACGACCACCTTTCACATTTTTCTCATCGATAATGGGTGGCCGTCTTGAACAATTCCGACCGTATCTATTAACTTTCAAATACGTTTCGAGAATTACTTTAAATGACTTTCATGAGGCAATCATTCATGACAGAGCTATAACTGCACTTTATTCGAATTGAAAGAATTTGCGCTGTCAATGGAAATTGAGTTAGAACAATTCTCGACATAAAATGAAGAGTGCATTCATGAAAAATAAAAAAGGAATAGATATCTGGATTTTGTATTCAAACGTTTACAGATGTGTTGATATAATTCCGAACTTTATGTCTTACATACTTTACAAACCAAATAAAAATTATACGTCTTATGTCAGCTTCCTTGAAAACAGAGCGGAAAACTACACTGTTTGTTATCTTAAAGAGTAAAAAGACAACAGCGTCTTGAAATTTATATTCTTATAAATACAGGAAACTCTGGCTTGCTCTTTCAAGATAACTTTAGAAACAGGACATTTCTTACCAGAGGATTAATTTTGTGTATCGAAAATTGTTCAACTGTACAGTCCGCAGTACTCAGTTTCATCTCGCACTGCGTCTACACATGAATACACACACACGGGCAGTAAGTATTTCGGAAAAAGAGCAAGCTCAATAAATAGAAACGAGGTACGTATAGTGAAAAAAAGCCAACAAATGGCATCCATTAACCACTCGTATCTTTTCATATCCAGTAAACGTTCAGCGAATGACATTAGTATGGAACAGATAAAATGTACGAAAAATATGTTCTTGCAATTGTATTCTTATTTTGTGCGGATTTATACTGTAAAAACCCCAAAACAAAACAAAAAACAAAACAAAACCCGGAACCAATATTGATCAGCCGGAGACAATAAAATCTCATAGACCAGTGTCTTCAGATTACTTCGAGAGATACAGGAACAGTCTACAGCAACAACATCAACAACTTGACCGTGACAACCATAGCTAAGGAGAATGAAAAAAAAGCAACATTATCAACGACAAAAACAATGGGAATTATAGAAGGATAGAAGGATAGGTAAACAATTCCAGGAACAATTACAGCAGCAGCAGCAGCAACAACAACAACAACAAAAACAACAATAACAACAACAATAACAACACCACAAAAACAACAGCAACAGCAACAACACAAGAAACTTCTGCACAGACAAAAATGAGAACAGAAACAACGATGTCATTACCAACAACTATAAAAACAATAGAAATTCCAACAACAGTTACAGCTAAAACAACTAAATGGACGAGACTAACATTTTGAACAATCAAACATCACATACGGCTATGGAATGTTCAAGAACTAGCTTAATATGTGCGATAAGAATAAAGCACTTATGTCAACAGACTCAACATTATGAAAACCTTATAGTCTGCTCGGTTTCCTTTGTAAGAGACAAAACAAAAAATGGCTGGCGAGATTTTCTGTTCGTCAGCCACCAATTCGTACGAAAACACGTGAAGACGACAGAGGAAAACTAGCGATGTCCCATTTTTTCCACTAAATGACAATTAAAATTCTTAGAAGACTTTGTGTTTTGCTGTTGAAACATTTTTTAGCGGTTATTTCATTTTAGTACGTCATGATTGGTTTGTACGGCGGAGATCTGTGGAAAAGGGCTATGGTTTGGAGATCACTAGTTTTCCCGCTGAAGTCTTTATGTATGACATAGAGCAAGGTATGGAAAAATCAAAATGAACACTTCAGAGAAGAAATGCAATGTTTTCAAATGTTGCTACAAATCGAGTTTGGTAAGATTCAATATACACAAAACAAATCTTGCTCAAAGTGCATTTGCAGATGCCTGTCGTTACCAAAGCATGTCTTGGAGGGGTTACTTATGACGATACTGCTAAGATATTCTCAACGAGAAAGATGCATTTTTTTTTTACAATACATGCATTTGTACGCACATATTGTGATGTCTATGTCTCCTATAATTAAGCAAAGTGAGTGCATTTGCCCTCCTCCCTCTTCCCCCAAATAAAAACGATTATAACTAATTATAAATTATATACCCTCATAGACGCAAATAGCATCATTTGGGAGACGGGCTGCCTCTATCCCGCCTGTTAGGTGATAACTGGGCTATGTGAAATTTCAGAGAAAAGATTGTAATAGTCTATGTGAAAAGGGCCCTTAAGCACATAAAACGTTAAGCACGTTAATTTTAAGTTACTTCAAAACGCATGTTTCTACATCTCTCCGAACAATAATATGCAATGGCAACGGCTTGTAACAATAATTACCTAATGCCTAGAGCAAAAGGATTTGGTTATTTGGTATTGGGGTTGTATGGGAACACAAACAATGGTTTTATTGTATGATACTAAGAGAGCCATCGCAAACACGCCAGGAACGCCGTCACGATTCACAGTCGGATCCAGCTCAAACTGCCCTCTGTGTCACCGTGCTGGGAGTAAAACACTAGCGTGCCGTCTTCACGAGGTGCTTCATCAGAGGTTTCAAAACCACTCCGTGTGTGTCCGTTCGATGATTCTGAGAAGACATTACATACATGTGATCAGCGATGGTAAATGATGCCGACTTACTAGAAACTGCAGCAAGAACAGAACCTTACAGATGGACAGACGCCGTTATTGTGATCAACAAACACTCCAACACTGCCAACAAAAAGGTCAACTGAAACATAGACCATCACCACTAATGACACCCTCATCATATCTGTTATCACCTTTCCTCATATCTAACTCCCCAGTATGACAACCACAGCAACCACCATAGTGTTATCAAAGTCATCATAATAAGAATGATTGCAAACAAGTACAATAACAACAACAATAATAACATCAATAATAGCAACACCGTCACTGCCACACCATCACCAAGTTCAAAGAAAAGATGAAAAAAAAAAAGAAACCCGACAAGAAAATGAAGAGAAAGAAAATCCTTCACAAGACCCCCCCCTCCCCCCGAAGAAAGACAATAAAAACAGAACCCCCCACAGTAAAGATACATGTACTCAGAAGTGCAATACGAAACACAACAGATTCAGCACACCAGGAAGCCAGCCAAGACAGCCGAAAGCACACGCAAGAGGCAGAGAAAACGGCATATAAAGAACAGTGCTATTGATAATGAAAAGATACTGATATTTCAGAGCCCGTTTACAAGTTCCAACTTGGAAAGAACTCTTAAAAAGCTAAAATCCTAACAATAACGATAAATAATAAATAGCATCTGTTTAAAACATATCCCTGCTCAACAGCAAGCTCTTCACGCTTTACAATCCATTATTACCTTAACAGACCCAAGACCATTCTTAGCTTCTTGGGAAACATACAGTGCAGGTGCCTGATTATGCACTCAAAAACTAACAAACTGACAAGATCTTTTCCTGTCTAGCCCGCTAGCACTACCCTGTCCCACCTGGATCAAGTGAGGATATTTAGTGATAAGTGCCCTTTTCAAGGACACAATATCGGGCACCTGAATAGGTTCGAACCCAAGATATCTAGGTAGCAAGCCCATCAGCCTAACCACTTGACCTCCGACAAAATGAAATACACTAAACGAGAAGAATATCGCAGTTTCAGATATTGAAAAGCGAAAAGCTTTAGAAAATGGAAATACAATAATATTTCTTAGTCACACCCAAGCAAAAGAATTGGAAACGAAGGGAAAGGAAAGAACAAACAGTAAATAAAAATATTAAATCGTTAGTCATAACACTGAAGATTGATAAACCAGATTTATGACAACTAGAAGTACATTTTAGGAATTCACACTCCTCCCCCTCCCCACCCGTTTTGGATCCTTAGTTAATTAAAAAAAATTGTTCTTAATCAACCCTTTTGGAATTACAAAGCACGTACACGCATGTGTGCATTAGTGTAAGTGCGTGTGTGTGTATATGTGTGTATATGTGAGTATGTGTGTATGTGTGTGTATGTGTGTGTGTGTGTGTGTGTGTGTGTGTGTGTGTGTGTGTGTGTGTGTGTATGTGTGTGTGTGAGTGTTGTCTTGCAATATAACCTAGCAAGTTATTGTTTTTCGTCAATGAGTTATTTTATTTGAAAAGGCAGGATAAGCATAATTTACAGTAGTGCAGTTTGCACTAATTCTGCTACTTGGTGGACTAGCGTGTTATTCTACGATTCATTCATCTATTTTCTAAAAAGCGTTATTAAACAAAAACATTTCCATTGATTTATGCCGACACAAACTATTTCCTATAAATTACAGCAGTTTAGAAGTTTATTCGAAGGAAGAAGCTATTCTTTAAAATCGGAGATTGTTTCCTCTCAGAGAGAGAGAGAGAGAGAGAGAGAGAGAGAGAGAGAGAGAAAGAGAGAGAGAGAGAGGGAGAGAGAGAGAGAGAGAGAGAGAGAGAGAGAGAGAGAGAGAGAGAGAGAGAAACTATACATGTATAAAACTTTTAACAGACATAAAACGATACTTTTAACTTCTGTTTTAAACTAAACGTCGACAATTACGATTTGGAAATAATTTACAACCAACAAGGCAGTATATTCATTTTGGAAATCCCAGTTCAAAACGAGAGAAGGAGCACACACCAGAATGGAGAGAAAAATACAAAGTTAGAAATAAGAAAACACTCGTTGCTTGAACGTACTCAAAGCCAAAGCATACCGGAGACCTACCATGCAGAAACGTATTGCCGAGGCCATTTGTTTGGCAACTGAAATAATGGAAATACAAACCAAAGAAGGTGTAAATCTGCGAACGTAAGATAGGGAAGACCTAGAACCAGTGAGGATCATCAAAGAGTTTGAAAAGCGGGCTAAAACGCAATAGTAATAGAATAATATAAACAAATATTAAAATTTAAAATTTAACATGACTGATTTTGTTACGAAAACGTAGCGAGCGTTGGGGTTTAGAGACCGTTTTCGAAGCCAATCCTAATTGTTTTTACTGACGAATGGATTTCTGTCTTGAACAAGTCTTGAACAAGGATGGATGTGGAATTTTGCCTGTGCAGTCGGCAATAAATGCCGGTTCTTCATCGACATTAGGCCTAAGTGTCTCTTGACGTGTGAAACTCCAAGATAGTAGTCCTCATCCGAGAAATCTCGATCCCACTTGCCCTGTGATTATGGGCGTGCATACGTTTAATAAAAACGTTAAAGTTATGCCAAGATAAAACCATCAAGTACTCCCAGGGAAAGCTGTGTGAGTGAATACATCAGAGAACTTAGTTTGGTGTTTCTGGTTACGATTCATCGGTTTGTAAGGTGACGTCCATTGGATCCTGATTGGTTCTTTCATTAAAATCTGAGAAGGTATTGGGATCTAATGTCTGCAGGCCGCTGGGGTCGTGTATTCATAATCCTTTTAGTTTCCTTGACCTTGACGACGTAGTAAAAATTGCTTTTTAAAGGACTTAGGATAACATAATTCAAAGAAGTTTAACATTTTAGCGTGAAAGAGGCTGCTGCAAAAGAATATAAGAGCTCAAAGAAACATCATAAATATGTCTGACCAGTCATTAACACACTTGACGTCGGGGTGACGATCTGTGCGCCTCATTACCAAGGTAGAAAGTTGCATTCTTTTCTCGTTTTCCAGTAGAGCTGGGCGAAGAATCAATTCCAGAACAGATTCCCGCGATTAGTGCTACCCAAAGAAAAATTTCGATTCCTTTTTTACATTAACCAATGGTTACAGTTACTCTATTCTCTGTTTCAACCTTTTTTTGTTTTGTTTACAAATTCATTTTTGAAAAAAAAGTTGGTGCTTCGCAGTTTTCCGAAATCAAGGTAATCCTGAACTTGTTCGGAGTCAACCAGGTATCCACCGGGAGAAATCAGTTATTGGGTTCAGAGTCCATTTCCTCGATTCCTAGCTTTCAATAATCGGGAAGCTAACTGCTCACCACTATTTTCCTGTCGGCTCCAAAGCTATATTTTATTCATTTGTCCATCCTTAACGGCCTCTCTGCATGTCTCGTTCCTATTTCGTGGGGAAGGGGCTGATGTGAGTAGTGACGGACAAGGAGGTGAATACAGAGTACTTACTTACTTTAACTTTTTAAAAACTTTTTCATCCTATGTTGCCGTTAAGCGTCGAGGGGAGATGCAGTTTTCTATGGTAGGCCAGCTCAGCAGCTCTTTCAGTTGTGATGTTATGTTTTCTTAGGGTTTCCTTGACACCCTCGATCCACCTTTTGCGTGGCCTTCCTCTTCCTTTATAGCCTGAGTGCTTGGTGTTGTAGGCTCTCAAGGCTGGCTGGTCAGGTGACATACGTAACAGGTGGCCAAACCATTCTTTCCTCTGTCTTTCTATGTAACGCAGGCAGGACTCAGTGCCGATAGCTGCTCTTACTTCTTCATTTCTCTGCCCGTCTCGTCTTGTGATGCTAAGGGTTTTGCGGAGACATTTCATTTCGCATGCGGTGATTTTGCTTTCGTGGGTTTTGCTTAAGGTCCAGGTCTGGCACTGATAACATAATGTTGGTATGAATATTGAGGTGAGATTGAGGTGAGATGAATTTGACATTGGTCGTCTGCGAACAGAAATCCATTTAGGCATTCTGGGCTTTGGTTTCCTTCTTGCGTTATTGTGTTCATATATATCATAAACAGGAGGGGAGATAGAACGCATCCCTGTCGTACTCCAGATCTTACTTTGAACCAGTCTGTATTTCCTTCCTTCGTTCTTACTGAGCTTCTGCTGTTGGTATATAGAGCTCTGACATTATCTAACAATTGTCCTCTGACGCCATACTTTTTGAGTGTCTTCCAGAGTTTTGCATGGTTTACTCTGTCAAAAGCCTTCTCTTGATCTATAAAGACGATGTTGGATTCTTTGTTGTGTTCTATTGTTTTCTCGCATATCTGTCCTAATGCGAATACGGCATCCATGCATCCTCTTCTCTTTCGGGAATCCAAACTGAGCTTTGCTCAGATTTCTCTCTACAATATTTCTTATGCGCTGCTCTAGTATCTTTGCATACATTTTTCCTGAGTGGTTTAATAATGAGATGCCTCTATATGTTGTGCAGTCGCATTTGTTGCCCTTTTCTCCCATAATGGTACCAATGTGTCTTTCTGCCAGTCTTCTAGGCATTTTCTTTGTTCCCAGGCTCTGTTGAAAATACACCTTAGCCACAGTATACCAGTGTTTCCACAAGCTCTTATGGCTTCCGCTGTGATGTCATCTGGTCCTGGGGCTTTGTTCTTGGGCTGGCCTTGAGTGCCTTTTCTATTTCACTGGGAAGTATTGGTGGATCTGTTCGATCCCCATAGGATGGTTGGAACTCTACTTGTTGTCCGTGGCAAGCGTCTGGGTTGAGCAGTTCTCGGAAGTAATTTCCCCATCTTTTCTTGATTGCATGTTTGCCGAGAATGGCGTTTCCCTCTTTATCATTTATAATCCATGTCGGGTTGTAGAATACAGAGTATCTTATTTAAATGTGAAAACTTAGAGGTATGTTCCTTCTAAGTCTTCATAACGATTTGATAGTCCAAATCTGTTGATGGCGAAAAATACTCTTTGAGCTTTTGTAAAACAAAACCCCAATAGCTCTTTCCAACACATACAACACCTGAAGGCCCCCCCGACACACACAAATAAGAAGCAAACGAGTAAAATAAAAACAAAACAGCAGCCCCCAAACAAAACAACAAAAGCTTTAAAAAAAGAAAAAGAAACAGGAAAAGAAAAACATAAAGAACAGAAAATAACGAAAAAACAAAAACAAAACAACAGAAACAAAAAGAAACAGACGTTTGTGTCCATTTCAAGAAAAAATGTACGTTGTAAATACAAGCTACAAGAAAGATAAAAAAAAGCTGAATATTATTCCCCTCTTTCATGAGAAAACAAATTTCACATATTATTCTGTCTCTGTTAAAAGGGGTAAGTTGGTTCAGAGAACGTATAATTTGGTATACTATGAAACGTAAAAAGAAGAAACAGCTGTCGAAATGTAGAATACTGACCTCTTGAACTGAACAGTGGGTAAGTGAGTACACTGAATACATAAGAATGGCTTAAAATCTAATAACCCCACCCCCCCTCTAAAAAAAACAAAAAAAAAACAAAACCCAATGCTAAGCCAGAAAAAAACACCCCCCCCACTACACAAAAGGAAAAATATATTACTTGAAAATAGAATTCCTCCTCCCACATACCTGTCAGAGGTAAAGCCTGAGTCCAGCCCGCCCCCGTTGAGCTCAAAGCCTGTGTTCACAAAGCCAGAGTCCAGGCCCCCGGTCTCCAGCTTGTTGTTCCTCTGGTTCTCTTTGCTCATCTGACTGTCCGAGGCCAACACACTGGTGGCCGTGCCAGACGTCGTCAGCTGACCTTGGCTGTTGGTGTCTTTGCTCCGACCGTTGTACATCTTACTCAAAGTCTTCCGTTCAGGACGAAGTCTGTTACAGAAGGAAGGATGAAAATGGAGACACGGAGAATTGACACCCCGGTTTAAACCTCTAGGGAGATAGGCATGCTGGGGTAGGGTATAATAATGTGCCGTAATATGATAGAGTGCAATGATGAGTTGCGTAATGTGTCTATATTTTTGTATGTAATTAACGGCCTACATAACATGAAGAGATCATTACAAAGGCGGACGACTGGATGAAGTGATAACCTGTTGGTCTTAATTTTGGATTAGCAGTAGCGATGTCAACTACAGAACGGCAAAATCTTAAACAAGAACAATAGCAATAACAAGAAGAATAGTAACAAGAAGAGCACCGATCTCTTAAACACGTACTCCACAACAGAGTCATCACCCATCAATAACACACTCCCCCTAAAAAAAGCAAAAGCAAAAATTACAGCAAAAACAAACAGTCACAACAAAAATAATCCATTAACAGCACCTGATTGTAATCTGCTCCGCCCTACCTGTACCAAATCATTTGATGCTTCACGAATAAGAAAAGCGGAAACCAAGTGAGAGGCCCACAAGCTGCGTTCATCCACAAGTGGAAGTGTAGCCTTTAATTCTTCATAGTGTGGTATACTTATCTCTGTTAGAATTGGTCTCATAGGCCTCAGCAGAAGCCACAAGTCATCGTAACCTTTAATTCTTCAGATTCTCCTATTTCGCTCAAGTAATAATATCATTCTCCTTTGCAGATGTATTGTTCATGGTCAGACATTGACGGACGAGCTTTTATCATTTACCTGTACCAGTAGCACTCAAAAGCCAGTGTGATGAGGGAGAGGCCAGACCCGATCACAATGACGAGGAAGACGCCGCCAATGTTACGGATGCTGATTCCATCGGTCTCGTTCTCCAGTTTAGGACACTCCTTCTCATCTTCCTTCCACCATTTTGTCTTCATCTCCTCCAAGGCCCGCTGGTTGATAAGTTTCAGAATACTGCCAGGAATTAAATTTTTAAAATGTTTTAGAAAGCGTTTTATGGCACTTGCAACACAACAAGGTCATATAAGTGCCGAAAATTTGAGGTGTTACAAGAGACTAACTTACTAACTAATCAACTAACAGTGATTATTTTCTGACTGTCTGACTGACTGGCTGACTGACTGACTGACTAACTCAATAATTAACTAGCCCGACTGACTGACTGACAGACTTACTGCTGACTTACTGACTGACAGACAGATAGACAGACTGACTGAATGACTGACTAACTAATTACTATGCAACCAGCATAGTCCTGTGAGTCAGCCCCACTCACATGTTGGAGAGCTGACTCCGGAGTGGAGAACCTTCCTGCACGGCCAATGCGTAAGGTTTTCTGGAGAATTCCTCTCCGACCTGCCACAGGTCACAGTTGATCAGCGTCTGGTACTTGTTGGTCGTAGCATCAGCTGGGGGAGCGTGGGGGTGCGGGGGGGGGGGGCATTTTGAATTAAATGTTTCCGTTTTTATATTTCTAAAATAATAATATGAGATGAGATTAACTTACAATTTGTCAATTAACTTGAGTTATTTAATTTTACAAAATGTAAGGCATACAGATATGTTGCTTGTTTTTGTGGAAAAAAAAACATCGATTTATTTGAATGCCATCAACACCTATGTCGTGCGCAAATGCTACCATAGCAGTATTCTCTTAAAATATAAATTTAAACAGTTTGTACGTGTAGTTGACGGCATTTGCCAACAGCTGCTTTAACAAAACAAAAAAAATCCGTTTGCCTGACACCACAACAAATGAACAACTTTGAGAACAAAGAAATAAACAGAATATAGACATAGAAATCAGAAAAAGTGGGGTTGGATTGGACAAACCTTGAAAAACCTGAAAAGAATTTACCACTAAGCCTCAAGATAGAATCCCAAAGGGAAGAGAAAGAAAGGAAGGCCTTAAATTATTTGGAAGAGGGGCTTGAATTCGGACCTGAAGGACATGGGATATAGCTGCAGCTGAACAGAGGTTGGGACTATAACTTATAAGCCCAGAACAGAAGTAAATGGAGGGCTCTTGATGATAGCCTTTAATAATAATTAATAATGAATAAATAGCATTTGTAAAACACATATCCCCGCTCTTCACAATATACTATTTCCCTAGCAGACCACAGAACACTTAGAGACATTCTCAGCATTCAGGGAAGCATACACTGCAAGCAGCTGATTAAGTGTTCAAACACTAACAAACTGACAAGATCTTTAATCCGACATGGGATGAGAAAGGGCGATGGGGATGATGATAATTCTTTGTATCTTTATTTACAAATAAAAGCGAAATCCTCGTTCAGAACGCGATGAACTGCTTCTGTCTTGTTGGAGGGAAAATGTGAGTCCTGCATGGTCTGCCAGAGCTTCGTGTACTTGTCGCTCACGGGGTAGTCCCACACGGCCAGTTGGGCACGTTCTACCGCGGCAAGGTTGTCGTTCAGACTCATGTTTTTCCAGATTCTGGAAGGAAAAAGCACACCACGGAACTGTATTCACGACACACACACACACACACATACACACACACAGACACACACATACACACACACACACACACACACACACACACACACACACACACAAACACACACACATATATATATATATATATATATATATATGCGGGTGTGTGTTCCTATATCTATCTATCTATCTATCTATCTATCTATCTATCTATCTATCTATCTATCTATCTATCTATCTATCTATCTATCTATCTATATATTACGTACATGTAGGCAATAGGCGTGTCAGTAGGTCGGTTAGGTTGAGCAGGTTGCTAAGTCAGGCGGTAGGTAAGTAAGTAGGTAGGAAGGTAGGTGAGTAGGTAGACAGGTAGGTAAATAGGGGAGAAGGTAGGATAACCAAAATCACCAAGAGATTACAAGTTATAAGATAGACGTTAAAAAAAAATTTGAGCAGAATTGAGAACTGGGACATACTTTTTATGGTTCCGACATCCTTATGACATCTCGTATTATGCTTGATTGAGGTGTGGGGAACAGTGGTTCGAATCCTAATCTTAAGTATTTATTTGTAAAATAATTTTCAAGGATCCCTTCCCCTTTTAATCATCAAGAATCTTCTGGACAAAGAATTGTATTGAAGGTCTTGTATCTTATTCCATGTGCCCTTAAAAAGGTAAACCCCCCGATGCTCCAGGTGTTGTCAACTCAGCGTCACCATCCAGTGCCTTGCCGACTGGCGTGGGCGATCATGGACCTCCACTTCACTCTGCCATGCGTTGCAGCAATGGTGTCGTTGTCAACTACTCACTCGTAAAAGCGGTGCTCGATGTGCGCCATTCTCTTGAAGTAGATCATCGCCGTGCTCCCGTTCATTGGGGCGTACTGCACTTTAAACTGTTCCGACAGGTCATCCAATGACTCAATGGGAGTTTCCAAACGCGATACTGCCCATAGGAAGAGGAACAGAAAGTAAGTAGAAACATAAAAAAATGAAGGAAAATAATAATGACAATAATAAATAAATTATAATAAAAAGCATTAAAATGTGTATAGCGCACACCCCCGCAGGACAGCAAGCTCTATGCGCTTTACATTGTATTTTTACCCCAGCAGACCATGTAACATTCAGAAACATTCCCGGCTTCCCTGGAAGCATACAGTGCAAGCAGCCGATTAAGCGTAACCACTAACAAACTGACAAGATCTTTAGCTGTCTGTATCTGGGTACCCATTCTCACTTGGATGAAGTGAGAAAAAATGCGTATAAAGTGCTTTTCACAAGGACACAATGTCGGATCACTGGCGAGATTCGAACCGATACTGCAGCTACAACCCCGAGAAACCTACGGACACACGCACACAAACACATACAAACACACACACACACACACACACACACACACACACACACACACACACACACACACACACACACACACACACACGTTGCGTGGGGAGCAAGGTTTGGCTGCATTTTGGGAGTTGTGAAATACATACACCTACTACAGAAGTATGGGAATGCAACCACCTTGATTGAAGAATAGATCCATGAAGATCTTTTTTAAAATGGGTACATTGTTTTTCGCACTATCCTACAGGGTCTGCCATTGTGCCCTTTTTCATTCCTCTCACCTCACGGATTCGATGACCGCTCTTTATTTGAGCAGATTTCTGTGAAAATTGTGAAATGGCAGTGGTTTAACGCCTCTATCAACACTATTAGTTTATTTAAGAGGCGGGACCTCTGAGTTAAATGTCCATCTCCGAAACGACCATGCCAAACGGGAAGTTCGCGTAAAGTGTCTTTCCCAAGAACACAACGTCGGACCGAGCTGACGCTCGGAAACCGGAACCAGCAATCTCACGAACACGGGTCTGGTAGCCTAACCACAAGGTCACCGACACTACTTCAGATTTCTGTTGACGACTTCGTGGACAAAGCGACTGGAGAGTTTAAATTATTATTTATAAAGGAGAAAAATTCTAACAAAGTATTTTAGTCCTTTCAACAAAATCTCTATTCATCAGATGCAATGGCCCATCACTTTTCTTAGTATTATTACACACTGTTCAGGCAGTTATGAAGAAAACCGAAAAAACAATATAAAACAGTACTATTACAACATTATTTCGAAAACGCCCCCCCCCCCCCTCCCCCAATCCTGAAAATAAAACAAGACAAGAAGAAAATTAAATTTATGTCTTGTAATCATCGTCATTACCTGTGAGAAAAGCAGCGAGGTTGGCGGTGTAGGTGGCGATGATTATGAAGCCAAACAACCACCAAGTGGCTGCAATGAGCCGGCCGGACAAGGCCTTGGGAGTTTCTCCACCACCTGCAAAGAAAACAAACCGCCACTTCTTTCTCACAAGTAGTTGACTCATGGTAAGACTCCTCCTTTTTATTGATTACCATGAGGAGGTTTGGTTTATAATAGTGTGCATACATAGGTACAGACTTGAATACATACAACAGTATTAATTCATTAACGTTTCTTAGAGTCACAAGATTACATTCATACAGACATTCAACATGCTATTGCTGGTCGCAACTATGTAGAATCTTGTTTTTGAGCGAGGGTTGTCGTGTCGTGTTCAAAGCCATACCCCAGTGACAGCCCATTTAAACACCGTGTCAATGACAAATGCTCGGCATTATTGTGAACCTGACTTGAGCACACTGACTACTTGCCCCCCCCTCCCCACTTTTTGAGGAGGAGTCAACAAACGTGGGACACATCTCGCAGAAACCTTGGTGATATTGAAATATGTACATTTAAGATTCGTTCAAACGATCCAATGATGAGCCTAGTTTTTTGCTCAAACATTCAACTGTCTGCCGCCTATCAGACAACACAAGTTTCTTGATTTTCAACAGATTCTCTTATGTTGTTGCTGTCTCTAGGCGACCATCACGGTGGTAATCTTAAAAGCACACGAATCCGCATTTGAATTTTTAACACCAAAATTTTATCACAACATAGGATGGGCAATCAGTTCAATATACGGCATGCATCTCCGTAAAAATCTCTTGTAGCAAAAAAACCCAACAACAAACAACTTCATTACTGCCCTGTGCTCAATTTTCTCCATTTTTATGTTGAAACTGGAGAACAACATACCCCCATTCACTTACAGAGCGCTGGTGTCAAAAAAAGTTATTGCTAATTCCCCCAAATTTACATGCATTTTAGAAAGATAATTTTTGGTTTTCACCCCAAATTTCAGCTTTCTACCTGTATTCCTTCATGGTCAGGTAAAAAACTTTTGGTATGCCCCTCGTAGATAGATATATAGATAGAATGATTGATAGTAGGAAGATAGTTGGAAGGTAGGTAGGCAGGTAGAAAAGTGGATAGGTGTACACAGGATGATAGTAAACGGTTGTTCAGAGAAACAGGCAGAAATGGGAAACATGCGTACAAAGGTAAACAATTATTCAGAATGCAAAAATTCATACATCGATATTATGATTATGGCCCTTTTAGACACAGTTGCTATGTTTATATACTCCTTGGTACTCCACCCAGGAGTCTCCTTTCTTTCAGTCAAATCCAAAACAAATCTGAGAAGTGGAAGTCTCCACATAGGACTAGTTATTAAAAGATGAACTGGCATGTAATCAAACACCATCTGTATCAAAGAACATAGAAATATAAATATGTGCGTGATATATATATATATATATATATATATATATATATATATATATATATATATATATATATATATATATATATGTGTGTGTGTGTGTGTGTGTGTGTGTGTGTGTGTGTGTGTGTGTGTGTGTGTGTGTGTGTGAGAGAGAGTGAGTGAGTGAGTGTGTGTGTGTGTGTGTGTGTGTGTGTGTGTGTGTGTGTGTGTGTGTGTGTGTGTGTGTGTGTGTGTGTGAAAAAGAGAGAGAAACAGAGAGAGAGAGAGAGAGAGAGAGAGAGAGAAGGAAGAGAGAAAGTTAGAGACAGATAGATAGATAGATAGATAGATAGATAGATAGATAGAGAGAGGGGGGGGAGCAACGAACAGTGCAAATGAAGGGAAGGCAATAGCAATACTGATGACTGGACGGAATAAGAAGCAATCTTGAAAGACGTAGCAAGCCTCTTGGACTAAATGATGATCATCACTATCGTCGTCGTCCTCCTCCTTTCCTCCTCCCCCTCCTCTATCTCTTCATCCCCCTCCCCATCCTCTTCCTCCTTCTCATCATCGTCGTCGTCGTTGTTTAAAAAGCAGAGTAGGTGGGTAGAGTCTTGACTGATTTGTAGACAAAAATGTGTACGAAAATGTTTAACACTGGTTTATTAAATCGGCTGGACGTTTCGCCACGTACGCTTCCTCAGGTAGGAGCAATTGAGAGTAAGGCAAATGTAGCGCTGTATTAGTATTAAGGAGAAAGGCGTAACAAAGAAGGTCATGTACGTAGTTATCAGGCAAGACGGAAGCGACTCAGTGGGAGCCAGGTCATCATCATCATCATCATCATCATCATCATCATCATCATCATCATCATCATCATCAGACAGACAGACATACATAAAGACAGACAGATTTCTCACCTTGTGGAGTCAAGGACATCATACAGAACCAGACTCCCTCTTTGAGTGTAAATACCCTGGGCTCGGAGCCACTGCTCTTCCACTGGTTTTTCCTGTTCTGGTAACTGTGGAAAAAGACGTTGTGAGAGCCGTGCTCTTTCATTTAAGTTTAAGCATAACCAAAAATATAATTTTATTTTCATACGTCTTCTCCTTTGCACAAAACAAATTTTACCGAGTGTAAATCTGTCATTTTCAACAAGTGTAAGGGTCAGATTCACTAACTGAAGGTATTTTTGGTATGAAATAATGTTTACCATTTACTTAGCACATAGCCATCAAATTTGTAGCTTATTGGTCATTGCTGCCAGTATCATTATGGAGATAGCCAACAATCCTAAATGATGTTTATACGAAAAAGACACGCTTCCAGTCGGCAGACAGTCGACACACTCGAACATCACCCTTCAGTAAAATAGTGTTTACGTTCACTGACATTTTAAAGTCGAACATGCTATTTCTCAAAAAAGATTTCTTAGTATTTTCATCCAATCTACACCGAAGAGCTCTCGCGGTCTAGAAGTCACAGTTTCACATCTCGTTTAGTAGGTCCGGGGTTCCAAACTTGACAGCCTTGGAAAATTTTCTTCCCTAAAATGTTCTTTCACCCCCTTTCCTGCCATGTTTTGCCGTCTGCTTTGGTATCCATTTTATGCCCCCCCTCTTTCCTTTTGCCCCCTTCTCAGGCTTTCTGACTCTTTCTGCTGCCTTTCTACAGTAACTGCTACTCATTGGCTCCTTCTTACTGCTGCCTTTCAGCCATACCCTTGATCTTATGGTAGATAAGATCTAACACATAGCCTTTTCAGATAAGGGCCATAAATCTCGGAGGTCACGTGTGCAAGTTGTGCACGTTAAAGATCCCTTGATGGTCCTAAAATCGACAAGAATAGCTTCGGCTGCCATCCGGGCAAAATTCAAAAATCTTTTCCATACTGAAAATGTATGACTTTATGCAGTTGCGAGCTTCGTAAAACGCTTACCAATACAAAACACATCTACATAGGACGTACCGTTAGCTCAGTTGGCTTCATGCTGGACTACAGAACGGCCCATTTAAGACTCTTAACCCATTTGACTCAGCTTTCTCTGGTATAGACGTTAAATTTGGGGTCCTCGCTTTGGATTAAAGTACAAAGTTGAAAAGGGCATTTAAGCTAACCATTTCGCAAATTTAACTCTACATCGTTCAAGGACAGTGGATTAAAAGTCTCGGGCACACTTTACTTTGAGATGGGAGCATTAGACTAAAAACAATCATTAGTACAATGTTACAATATCATTGTCTTCGGAAAGGTCTACATTGTGATAGACCTGGAATCATTATGGGTCATAAAAAATACACCACGTTTTAAGATAAACACGTTCTGAACTAGGTATTGCTAAGTGGGAAAGAAGTTTTATTAACGAGAGCAGTACTGCTACATGTTTTATGTAGCTGCACTGATCTCTTCTCAGTTTTGAATTCCCACGGCCCTGTGTCGGGTGCTTACAATTTAGGCCAGAGTAATACAGACAGAGAACTTGACGAATACGTTACCTGAAAGGGCTGAGCTTATCGAAGACACAGATGAGAATGCTGAAGAGGAAGAAGGCGCCGATGATACATCCCCACACCTCTTCGTCCAACACGTTGAGAAACTTGACTAGGGAGTAATCGAATCGAGGTTTCCTCATCAGAATGGTCAGCCCGACCAGATCGTAGTAAGGAACTGTGAAATCGATGACGTTCTCTCTTTCAGCCATTACGGATATGGGACCGACAGCAATATCAGCTTTCTGAAAAATACCATGATATAGTCACAGTTCAGGGGTAAGATATAGGGCAATGGAGGGGGGATAAAGATACTATACACAACAAGAAGATTTGCTCTCTGAATCCTAAACTGTCCACGGGCAATAAAATAATAGATATCACCATGCGTGTTGTTAAAATCATTTTTTTTTCGTTTTTCAAATGGAAGCTGTTTCCGAACAATCTTGTATTTCTACTCTTCGTCTAGGGGATAGGTTACCCGAAAAAAGCAGCACTATTACAGACGTCGTCACTCGCTTTTGGAAGATGTTTATCTTTGTGCTTCAAAAAGAGCAGTGAACTATCTTATAGAGTGGTTACTTTGACGAGGACCAGGTTTCGAATCCATTACAGAACCCCAACGTCTTTTCCGACAATGCAAGTATGTCTAACTCGTACAATGCAGAACGAAAAGTTAGAAAACAAAGTCTGCATCTTCCTGCTCATTTTTTTCTCGACGTTCCTGGCAGTCGTGTCTTTCCGATTTATTTATCTTGCACTCTTTTGTCTACGCGATCATCAGTTTCAGTGTTTGACGTTACCCATTCTTCGTGATGCCAAAATGTAGTGATGCTAACTTTCAACGAGATATGTTACTTTCCCCGAAATCCAATTTCTGAGTGACCAAGAAACTAGAAGGTCTAGTATATTTTGGAAGATGGAAAATCTTGGGACCAAACTAGAGTCAACTTGCCAGCACGGCTTCTCCAGCTTTTCATATTTTGCAAAATTGAGAATTAGCTTAGTTGGCATCATCTTTTAGTAAAGTGCAAAAGGTTGTGATTAAAATCCAAGGCTGCATGGTCTCGTACTTGTGTTCTTTAAAACGTTTTCAAGACTTTTTACAAATTTGCTTCTCTCCCGTGGGAGAAGGGCGTTGCATTTTTAATTCCGGTAGTGCTGCCATTGGATACAGTAATATATAACAATGAAAATAGGGGGGGATGTGATCAGATAATAGTCTCCGATACCTATTTACTTAGATCTCAGCAGCGCTTTACCTGCACTACTGGGTCAACATTATACTTTCCTACAGGAACAATTGATTGACGTTAGGCCCAAGAACAAAAACGTACACACACACACACACACACACACACACACACACACACACACACACACACACACACACTCACACACACACAAATCGTGTTTTCAAAGAGCGATAATCATGTGCAAGTCTGATGTCCTTTTTTTCTAAGAGGGCTCGGAATCGGAGAGTAAGGTAAGTCATTAACCACAATTCTTTTTCCGACTAATTGGCGCTAATGAAGCAGAGGAAACATATACTGGCAATG